ATATATATACACATGTATTTATATACACAGTATATATACACATATATATACACACATAACTGTATATACATACATACATACATACATACATACATACATACATACATGCATACATACGTACGTACGTACGTACGTACGTACATACGTACATGCGTACATATGTACATACGTACATACGTACATACGTACATACGTACATACGTACATATATGTGTATGTATATATATATATATATGCATATGCACACACACATACGCACGTGCACGGGATGCTAACTTTACAGGTCTTAAGACAGAAACCCAATCCCTGCAAATCCCCAGTGCCCGAAGGCCTTGACACCTAAAGTTGAGGGTTTAGGGTTTAGGGTAGACCCCAGCAGGATCTAGCAATGGGGCTTGATCTTGCTCCCAGAGTCGGCTACTGAGTGGCTATTAAATCCTAAACCCTGAAGAAGAAAACGAATGGAGCTTGTAAGGTTTAAGGTTTAGGTTTTGGGAGAAATATGCGAACTCTAAAATTTTTGAGCACCGTTTTTCGCACTTCTGCAGTTTGCGGTGGTTGATCAGTTTGCTATCGAGGGTTGTGGAGTTTGGGATTTAAAGCCCTTGCCCGACCGCCATAAACACCTACCCTTTTTAGGGGTCTTATGACTCTCTTACTATAAGCCTTTAAACCAATAGGCTATGTGGGCTTAAGGACGCTCCAACCGAAATTCAAAACCCTGGGCAATCCTGAACTGAAGCCTTGTAGTGATATGACAAAAAAGCCCTTGAAGTCCCACGCAGTATGGGATCTTGTTCGAAGGGGTGCAAAATCCAGCACCCCAGTTTGCCAACAAAATTCCTTAGGATCCTATATCAGCAGGTCCTTCTGTCGGACCCCAATGTGGTTGCCAACACACTGCAGTCTTGCTTCGTGCGGGGCTCAGCTCGGGGATGGGTTTAGGGTTTTGTGGCTTTCGGGAGCACGTTTCGCGGTCCTTGTTGGAGTAGACTCTCGCTGTTTAGAGAACCACTTCACCGGGAGCCGCATTTTAGAAGGACTCTTTTTTTGGCGGGCGTGGGCCGACCAAGTACATGAGGTGTGCGTCATGGAACTCTGCTTGCCTGCCTGCCGAAAGCAAGCTGCATCCGACTGCACCCCTGAAACTACCTCAACCCTAAACTCCTAAGGTCCTGGACGCTAAACCCTTAACCGTAACACTTTTGGTTACCTCAGTCTGAATCCTGTGTCACAATTAAACCCTGGAAGCCTCTGGACTCTGGATGATGCCAAAGCTTGCACGCAAGAGAGCGACACGAGGAACGACCTTCTGCAGGGGGCAGCATGCAAAAAAAGCCCACTCGAATCCAACACCCTAGTCCTAAGACCCCAAGACCCACCTTCCCAAACTACGAAAACCCTTGTTCTTCAAAAACGACTGTAAAACCCACACTCCCAGAATGCTAACACGACAATCTAAGATTCCATACCCCAAGAAACCCTACAGCCTAAACCTAAACCCGAAGCCCTGAAGCCTGAAGCCTGAACCCTAAACCCTAAACCTATTTATGTTCCCGAAAAAGGCACCGAAAGCCACAGAGCCCAGGAAGCTGCTGGAGGTGCCTCGCAGGGGAGCGTGTGGTGCTCTCGGTTCTCTTGCGAGCATTGTCTGCGAGGGTTTATAGGACTTTGGAGCTAGGATTTTGGGTGTTGGGTTTCTTGGTTTGGGTTTTGGGTTTCTGGGTTTGGGTTTCGGGGGGGTATAGGTTTGATCTATGGCTCAAGCTACCTAGCTGCCAAATCCAACTCAATCGGCGCTACATTCTCTAAGCCCGGTAACCCTACAGGCCACCCTTAACCCTAAACGGAAAGCTGTAGTCAATTCGACTGAGTGCCTTGGTCATCCTTAGGCCGTGCCATGCGGCTATACGAGCCCTCTGCACTGCCCACACTATGCTGCCGCGTCCTCAAAGGTTTTAGCTTCATTGTATTATTGGCTTGTGTTTCTTTTCTCTCTTGAGGGTTGAAGGGTTAATTTTTAGGGTTTAGGGTTGAACTCAAGCACCACTGTACTTAGAACGGTAATGCCAGCAGCAATGATCAGATACCATAACAAGAACGATGGCAGCTACAGTCAGGCGTGTTGTCGCCAGTAGTGCTGCTCCTTCGTCTGGTAGTTCTTCTTACGTGTTTTTCGATTTTGTTTCATTTTCACTCAGGCTTGCTACGTAGTAAGATGTTTTCTTGTAGGGACCCCCAACAAGTTGCCCTCTGTATCACCGCCCGTCCCCACAGACATCCTAAACCCTGATCCCCAAATCCTGAACCCTAAAGCTGGGCCCTAGGCCCCAGGAGCCGGGCTTCGTGACCAACTCAGCTGGGTGGAGAAAGGGCCTTCAACCAAAAAAGACCCAACACCCCCAAAGCACAAAGCCGTACAGGCCCCAAAACACGTCAGTCAAAGCTTAAACCCTTAGCCCCAATCCTTCAATCCCTACACCTTACACCCAAAACCCTCAACCCTAAACCCTAAACCCCCAATCCGTGCCTAAATCTTGAACCTTACTCTAAGGTTGGCGGGCCTGCCCTCCACGTGCATCAGCGAAGCCAGGTGGCCAAACTCTCAGCCTAAATCTTAAAGCCAAGGTCCTAAGTTTAGGATTTAGGGTTCAAGGTTTAGTGTTCAGGGTTCTGGGTTTAGGATTTGGGGTTCAAGTTTTAGTGTTTAGGGTTTTGGGTTTAGGATTTAGGGTTCAGTTTACTGCCGTTCTCGGAGCCCGGGCCCCATCGCAACGGCCAGCTGCGGTTTCTCTATTTATCTCAAACCCTAAACCCTAAACCTTAAACCCAGTGCCTTCGACTTCACAAAGCCCTCAACCGCCTACTCTTGCAAGGGAGGGGTACTGCCGGCCCAGGAGTAGCCTGCTGAAACGTGCAGGCATCTACTCACCTGAGGACAGCGCTTGGGAGTTTAGGGGTTTAGGGTTTAAGGGGGTATAGTACTTAGGGGTGCAGGGGCTCAAGGCTTCACGAGTTCGGGGCAGGGTCCCCTAACGCCCCGCAATACTCATACACAGATCGGGAGAAAAGCCAAGCACACCTGGACGGTGCCATAATTCGAAGGGCTTTAGAGTTCATCGGAGTTTAAAAGGGTCCTTCTCACAGGGGTGCATTTTTTAGGACTGGAGCCAAGATCAAAGTCGGGCATCACACCCGCAGAAACAGAAACCCCAAAGCCCTTACTTAGAGACTGCAATAGTCTTCCAGGGTGGGTTCTTCTTTAGGCTCCCTATCAGAGTGTAAGGCATATTCCGCTTCTGGCGGCTCTGCAGTGTGAGTGGCAGAAAATCACGGGACCCCGACCATAGACCAGAGATTGTAGGATCCTTTTCCAGGCGCACCTGCAGTTTAATCCCAAACCCGATAAGCCATAATCCCTAAACCCTGAACCCTAAACCCTAAACCATAAACCTTCTGAACAACCAGGACACTGTCACGCTGGACCAGCTGCGAGAGGTACAGGCCAGACCGCCCAAATCCAAGCGGAAATCACTGAGCCTTCAAACCGCCCCTAAACTCTAAGCCCTACGCCCTAAATCCTAAAACCCTAAACCCGAAGCCCTAAACACTAAAACCTCTAGCGGCCCTAGCGCCCTATGCCCTGAAGCCTCAGAGGTTAAGCCCTAAAGCTGTTAGCCCAAGGCCCTAAGCCCTAAAGCGACTTCATAAGTTCGAGTGTCATTGGGCTTGGAGAATTCGTAGACATACCGCCATCCTACCATGACATCCCATAGAGCCCATTTCTACGTATTGAGGCCTTTGAATTACTGGGTTTGGGCATCTTGAGCTTCGGGTGTATGGCTAGGGATGTGGGACCCAGGTCGTCTTCGCATGTTGGGGTTTGGGCCCCTTGTGTGGGCGGTTTAGGGTTTAGGGTATAGGCGTTTAGGGTTTAAGGGGGTGTCTCCTCCGTCAGAGCTGGGCCCTGAGCCATGATACTTGCCGTAGAGCCACTTAGAGAATGAGTCAGGAGAGCTTCACAGATTGCCATGCCCTTTGACTTGAGAAGAAGAGAGAACTTCATGTCTCCACTCTAGGAGAGCCAAAGCTAGTGATCCGATGTCCCGCGCGTTTCGGATGCTTTGCCGGCCAGTGCTGCTGGCCGTTTTGATTTCATTTCCCTGGCTCCACAGCTTCGTCGGTGAGAGTTGGACGCCTCAGCTTGCCGGCAGAGGGGTCGGGCGGGTTGAGCGTGGAGATGGTTCGGGCAACCGGGACTGGAGCCTCTTTATCTCTGCAGAAGAAGCGGCAACCGGCCTGACCGAGCAGACCATGGCAGCTGCCGCCACGCTCCTGAACTCCACAGGCTTCGTGGTCTTGCAAGGAGCTTCCCTGTTTAGCGAACTGGAGCTACAGCTGGGTCAGGAAACTGCAGATGTACAGCTGGCAAAGGTGACATCCGCAGCAGAGCGACTAGATCTGCTGGGCAGGTCGCCTTGGGCAGCTGGGTTCGGGAACTTGACTATCTATCTACCTGTCTATCTATCTATCGATAATCTATTTAATGTGTCTAGCTATCTACTTACCTGTCTATCTATCTATCTATCTATCTATCTGTCTGTCTATCTATCTATCTATCTATCTACCTATCTATCTACCTATCTATCTACCTATCTATCTACTTGTCTGTCCATCTATCTGTCTGTCTGTGTATTTATCTGTCTATATCTGTCTATCTATCCATCCATCCATCCATCTGTCTGTCTGTCTATCTACCTATCTATCTATCTATCTATCTATCTGTCTATCTATCTATCTATCTATCTATCTATCAGTCTATCTACCTATCAGTCTGTCTACCTATCAGTCTGACTATCTCTCTCTATCTCTCTCTCTCCTGGCTCTCTCTGGCTCTCTCGCTCGCTCGCTCTTTCTCTTTTTCTGTTTCTCTCTTTTTCTGGCTGTCCGTCCGCCCGGTCGCCTGTATGCACATATCTTGTAGGAACGTCCGTATTCTGGTCGCTCAGAAAGAGCTCTTTGCCACGAGCTCAGGTAAGGGGCCACAACCCGCGGAAACTCTTCGAGTTCCAAGAGGCGCTGTCCTACTCGCAGGGACGCCTGGACATGCCACAGCTGATGGGAGTTCCAGAGCTACGAGGATCGAGGTGAGATGGAGGGTTTCGGAGATGATTTGGAGAAGCTTCTTTGCTGCTTGCTGGTAGTTGACATCTATGTTTTCAAAAGAGATTCTGGGCCAGGGTCGTCGAACGGACTGTAAGGCCAGTCCGTGAAATGCCCGGCCTTCTACAAAACCCTAAAACGCCCCAGGCAGGTAACCCTAAACCCTAAACCCTAACCCCCAAAATCCCCCAAACACCCCCCTCCCCATCTCCCTGCAGGTGGTGCGACCACTCGGGTCTGCGAGGCATCGCCGAGAGTGCTTTTGGCCGCCGCTGTGAGCAAAGCGTCCTCGGAGCCTTGTGGAACTTCCCGGGCTCGGGTCCACCGGTGTGGCCTCTTTGTGGCATATACGTATGTATATGCAGGTATGTATGTAGGTATGTATGTAGGTAGGTTTGTAGGTATGTATGTGAGTAATATAGGGGCCTCAATAATTACCTATATTATTTTGCGGGTTCCTTACTATAAGTATACTATATAGGACCCCAAAACCCTGTTCTAATTTTCACGTCCCCTATATTATCTATATATGTTTATGTATTTGTATAGGTGTACATGTATGTACACACACATCCGCATACGCTGTGTGTAAAGCTGTTTTACGTACTACATACCCATGAAGTTGTTGTTGGATCACTTTTGTGGCATTGCGCTTTCTGGGTTTTGCGTTTCCGTTGAGGCGTCTTTGTTTTTTGCAGGCTCGGGGTTCACGCTTTTTGGGATCTGGTTTGGGTTCGTATTCGGCGTCATGCGGTGTTTTGGTGGTCCTGTAGGATATGAAGGTTAATTTTCTTTATCCAAGGGCCGAGAAGTAACAGCGTGATAGCCTGAACGGTTTCGTTAAGATCGTTAAGCGTCAACACCTCACAGCCCTAAGCGCTACACCGCGAGTTGCAGTGCGCAGTCGCCCCTAAAGCCTGAATGCTGCACCCAGCTAAGGCACAGGGACGGCTTCGACAATCCTCTGCTTGTTGCGGTGACGGCTGCCTGTGACTACCCACAAACCGTCGGCTTTATCCACGGCCAGCCGATGTCCCACAACGGGGCCCGGTTTTCGGACTCCGAAGGAATGAAGGCGCCAACCATGCAGCCAGGGTTGTCAGGGATTTGCGCTGCAGAGCTGAAGAAACCTAGGCCGCAGAGTTCTAAAGCCTAGAATCCCTTCTTGTCAAGGCCCTGTATATATAATCCCCTAGTAGACTAGTCGCTACTCTGAGCCCTTTTTCTATAAAATACGGTTTAAGCCTGATATGCTCAACCCTAAACCCTAAACCCTGAACCCCTAATCCTTTGAAGCCTTATGCCTCAACGCTAAGTCCCCGCAAAGCGGAACCCCTCAGGCTCCGATCACTTCCAAGGGCGAGGTGGGGGTGCCGCTCCCTCTGAGACGGGGGGAGACCTTGCTCTTCTTCTACACTACGAAGCCCCCCGGCTTCGAGAGTAGTGTATGTATGTATGTATGTATGTATGTATGTATGTATGTATGTATGTATGTATGTATGTATGTATGTATGTATGTATGTATGTATGTATGTATGTAGTTGTTTCTTTCAGTCTTTTTTAGGGCGTTCAGATTCGCATTCTTGGATCTGGGCGGGCCAGGCAAAGCCTGGAAACGTGGTGCATCTTAGAATTTGCTGCTGGCATCCTAGATTGTGCTTCCGCCTTGAACTGCTGCATGCCCCGGTTGAATATTCCAAACCCGAGACCCTAAACCCTGAAACTCCTACACCCGAAACGCCCAACACCCCACAAATAACAACAACCCAAAAGCTCCCCAAAACCCCTCAACCATGAAGCGCTACGTCAGCCCTACTCCAAGGCATGCTGCCACACCAAACTTGAGCAATCTGGATCGCTGCCTTCTCTACAGCGTCCACGGACCTGTAGGCGTGAGGGATGAGCACAATCACAAGGACCGTGCCGAAGCAACCCTAAACCCTAAACGTGGCAGGCTTGTAGTTGAAACTTTGTAGATCATGGGCACCTCCCCACTTGGTGAAGTGAACAACCCGAGCCCTAAAGAGATTTCACCCTAGACCCTTGACTCTAGGCAAGAAGCGCTGAATTCAGAACCCTCACTGACTCCAGAGCCCACAAGTAATGCTAAACCCTGAAGCCTAAACGGTGATCCTAAACCTAAACTCTGCAGCACAGGGGTTTGGGCGGTAAGAATATCAAGGGGAGCATTTTTATTTGTGGTGCAGACCCGAAATCAAACCCTAAACCTAAACTCTGAAGCTAAACGTAAACCCTGAAGCCCAAAGCCCGCTCCCTGCAAGGATTTCCTACCCTCACTCTTCGAGCTTTCCAAGGAGGAGGCCAAGGATTTGGATGCGTTCTATCGGCACCACTTGGGAATATAATCTGTTCTTTGGTGTAGTTTGGGTGGTTCTATGGACTCTTTTGGGTGGCTTCAGGTGTTGGATGGTTTTGCGGTAAGAATATAGGGGCCTTAATAATTACCTAAACTATTTTGGTGGTTCCTTATCATAATTATGGTATAATCTACCCCACAACCCTATTCTAACTAGTAAGGCCCCTACATTATGCGGTATACGCGGTTTTCGGGCTTCGGGCCTGGGGCCATGGCGGGACTGCACAAAGACCCGCTGCCGGAGAAAAGGTGCGAGGACTCGGCTTTCCTGAGGCGTTTTTTGGCAGACGGAAGTTCAGGTTTGAGGGGTTCAAGGTTTCAGGTTATAGAGTTGAGGGTTTATGGTTTAAGTTTGCGTGGTTATAGTCAAAGTTAGGGTCTAGGGATAGCTGTTCCCAGATGGTGCCCTTCGAAGTCTATGTTGTTTGCCCTGCATGCTGAAGTCGGAGTTTTGCGCTTTGCACGGCAGCAAGCCAAGGGGAAGGTGCCAAGGGGAAGGTGCTCCAAACCCTGACGCTGAGTCCCTAAACCTATACCCAAACCCCAGATGCTCTAAGCCGACGTCCTAAACTCTTAGCCTTGAGCCCTACACCCCAAGCCTTTGTTCTTTTGTTGGCCGGCTCTTCCTACACTCAATGCTGCCCGGGGTTCAAGGAAGCCAAGAGCAAACGCAACCCTTTGAATGCCACGGTAAAGGTTTCTTGATTAAGGTTTACGGTTTCGGGCTTTGTTTGCAGGGTTTAGCGCCTAAGGTTTAGGGTTACGGGGATTCTGGTTTAGGTGCAAATCCCAGCTTCGCGCAAATCTGCACCCAACAAGGGAGTTTGAGAAAGGAAGGAGGCTCGTTTGTGGAACCTGAATATTCTGATCCTAGTTACAACAATCCAATAAAGGAGACGGATTTCGCATATAAAAACACCACAATCCCAGCAAACATCTTAACCCTAACTGGCCGTGAGGCCTGATGCACTCGGTCCACTGAAGCTCAAAGAATCCCTCTGCAGCTCAAGGCAGCTGGAGCCCTCCAGCCATAAGGAGCAAGAACGAAGCCTCAAAGATCATAAACCCCGCAAAACCCCGGAGAACCATTCACGGCGCTTCCTTGCCGCTAAATGCGGACCCTTCCTTGGTTTTTGCATCTTTGCTTTCCCTTCTTCTCTCTCTCTCTCTCTTTCTCTGACTTGTCCCTCACTCTCTCTCTCTCTCGCTCTCTCTCTCTCTCTTTCTCTGACTTGTCCCTCTCTCTCTCTCTTTCTCTGACTTGTCCCGCTCTCGCTCTCTCTTTCTCTCTCTCTGCGTGCCTCGGCCTGACTCTGCCACGGCAAGCCTGTAGAATGCTGACCTGGCTCTGACTGGCCGACGGGAACTTCTGGTCCAGTCTGCGACCTCACCGCTGCCAGCTTCTCTCAAGGGTCCCGTGTTCTCAGAACGAAGCAAGCTGTAACCCTGAAATCCTTGTCCTACACGCTAAGCCCTCCCTAAACGCTTAGCCCCAAGCCTTAAACCCGAACTATGCCCTAAATCCCCTCAGCCGGCTCAGTAGCGATTATAGTAGCCCTGAAAGGAAACCTCAAAGAAGCCATAAAAGTTTGCGTGGATCCAATACGAATTTAGGGGGTCTGAAGAGTTGTATTGTAGTTAATATAGGGGTCTCAATAATCTCCCGTATTACTTGTGGTGGTTCCTTATATATTTATACTATAAAGGGCCCCCCCAAAACCCTACTCTAGTTATTAAGGCCCCTATATTAAGACCAGTCCCCTTAGAGCCCCTCTAGAAATCTCAATTGGAGCCCCAAGTCCTGAACCACCCTTTCAATCCATCCAAATCCTAAGCCCTGCGGCCTTAAATCTTAAACCCTCAGCCCGAAAGCTCTAAATCCTAATCCCAAATCCTTAAACTCCCCAACCAAAACCCCGAAGTCCCAACTTAAACCCTAAACCCTGAACCCTAAACCCTAAACCGAACCGAAACTCCACCTACAACCGGTGAATCCTGCCTAAAGGCCCAGACGCTGGGCGCCCTTCGCGATTGCTTCGCACCCAAGCAGCTCCTTAGGACCTTCTCGCCGGTTTTTCAAGCAGGTGTAGGGTTTAGGATTGAATGTTTCGGATTTAAGGTTTAGTACTTAAGGATTTTGGATTTAAGTCGGGTGTAGGGTTTAGGATATAGGATCTCGGGTTTAGGATATCTGGCTGAGGCTGTACGGCTTTCAGGGCAGAATTAAAAAGGGACTATAAAGGTTTCTTCAGCACGTGGAACCTTAAAGCCAAGGCTTTGCAAACTCCTGCAGAGAACTTCGTCGTAACCTTGGTAGGTTTGCGCTGGGGTAGGTCGGGCTAATGGCCAGCGCACACCACGAACCCTAAACTACGACGTACAGCCACAGTTACATGTTTCGCATGTATCAGTGAGGGTGTCCAGGCCACGGGTTGTGTGTTTCAGGTGTGCTGCGGTGCGCCCAACGCACCAGCAGCTATCTCAGCACCCGCCCGCCCGCCCATGCTGTATTCACAGGCGTAAATGAGTGATATTTCGGGCCAGATGGCCTGCTGGGGCGGCTGTGTATGGACGCCCAATGGCGAATACAAAGGGCTAGATTGCCTCAGACCTCGGCGAACTCATTGCATATGTTGAATGTTGGCAGCCAAAAATCATCTTCCAGCATGTGCATGCTGTCAGTAGGCTGGTTAGGGTTCAGCGGATTCCTTAAGGTCGCTCTGAAAATCAATTGTTCCAGCCATTTGTTTAAGGCTATCGGGGGTACGAGGTTTTCGAGGGCTCGTAACAGTTCGAGGAACCGAAGCATGTCCTTTTGTTGTAAAGGCGGGAGTTTTTGGGCCGGATCAGACCAGGCATGAACATATGTTGATTGGTTATGACCACCACAACATTCATTGCTGTATTACAGGTGGGCGAAGAGCGCAGGGGAAGCCTCCAACAGTGCCCAGGTGAGGTGAGGCCCCAACAGTTGCAAAGCACTGAAGCCAACCCCTCATCCCCTGAACCCGAAACCCTTAACCCTACGGTTGTATTGTTTATGGTTTACCTGGACCCCAAAGATTATATAGGACAGGTTCTTTAGGGTCCAGTTAGGGCCTAGGTAGGGCCTTAAGTCCCTTCAGCCCTGAACCCTAAACCCCTTTCTTGTCAGGAGCATGCGGCGGGTGTCTCGGGCGGAACCGCGCTTGAAGGACCGTGGATCCTGCAAACCGGAGGGGTTCCGAGCAGGTGCGAGCTAAGGCCGAGCGCGGGTTCAACCCTAGGGAATGATGTTGGATTCCGGCCCCTACATTAGTTGGTGTCAATTGTTGTGACAGGAAGAATGATGATGACCAGTAGTGCTACAGTACTAGCAACACTAGTTAGTAATAGCAGAGCGATGGCAATCTCAGGAAGGACCCTCAGAGTAGCGACCACAATACCACAACAAGACTGGACGGGTTGAAGTCTGTTTGTCCCTCCGATGTGCATGCTTGTGGCTCTGCCGTCTTTGGAGTTGCGGGGGTGGACGGTTCTGTATGAGTTACGGTACGACTGTACAGGTTCTTATAAGGGGTGCTACAAGGGTTCCAAGAGCGGTCATTTCAAGGGCTCCGATGACGGTTGGCTTCACGCTTGCGGCGAATTATGTCGGACTATCGGCCGCTGCGCCAAACGACACTGTTTTAACGGGCTGAAACATCTCAGACCGTGAGTTGCCAAGCATGCAGCCTACTCGGTGAGGTCAAGCGGGTTTAGGGTTTAGGACAAGTTTAGGATTTGCTTCCGACAAGACGTCATCATGATGTTCATCATAACTTCGAGCTTGGCATCTAGGTAAAAGCCCGGTACTGGCCCCGTGCATCCAATAGTAACGTCAATAGCAATCATGAGCCATTGCTAACAAGTCAGAAGAACATAGCTATTCGCAGCCAGCTAATGCAGGAATCTGTAGCAAAGCCAATAAGTAGATGATCCATACATTCTCTTGCGGACGCAGCGAGAGTCGTCTTTCGCCTAGCTTGACAAGGCAGAGCCTTCGGCTCCGGCGCCTCAAGGGCGCGCATCTGGTGTGATGATGCATACATACATACATACATACATACATACATACATACATACATACATACAGGCTGTACATACATAAACAGACATGCATATATACATGCATACACAAATACATGCATACATACATACATACATACGTACATACATACATACATACGTACAATGTATGTGTGTGTATATGTTTCTAGGGTTATGTATCTGTATATGTAGCTGTATATATGTATATGTGTATGTACATGCACGTGCATATGTATTTGTAAAGGAAATGTACTTCTATGGCTATGTATAACACATATATATATATACACATACACACAAATACACACATATCTATATGTATACATGTACGTACGTAGGCAGGTATGCATGTATGTATGTGTGTATGCGGTTAGAAGTTTCAATGGAGATATATATATATATGTATGTATCTTTATGTATATCTTTATATATATATATACACCTATGTATCTGGTTTTTTGATGCTGATTGCAACCCGAAGCCCAATAAGACTGAACCCTGAGCACCCTATTTAAACAACCTTGGGCAGCGCAAGGACAGATACGAATCCTTTGAATTCCGGGCGAAGGGGGCCCTTGGCAAGGTCAAGAGCCGAGAGCTTGTCGTTGAAGCTACGGCGCTAATGGGTCAAAGAGACAGCAAGGGCATTGCTACTAGTTCTTGGATTACTACTAGTCAGCATTTGGTGTTTATGTTCTTGGTTTTTAGTCAAGGGCTAAGTTAGTCATTCTCACCAACGGGTTTTTATTGTCATGACTTCCCTTCATGTGCTCGGCTTTGCTTTGGGAGGAGGGGCTGCAGTGAGCCCGCAAGAGAAGAAGCTTCACAATATTGCCGAAACCGGAGCACCACTGGTCTCGGTTTAAATGTCTGATTCGACTCAGTGCTTCTGCAGAACCAATAGCCCTAGAAGCGGCATTGATGATGGTAATCTTGATGCAGATACAAGACGCGACTGGGTGATGATGTCGGTGAGAAACGGTCATGACCACGATCATCACAACACTCACGGTCATGATTATGAACATGTTCGTCGTTATCAGAATCACAGCTGTCTCAACTATGAAAGTCTTGCGGAGGTCTACAGATGTCGACACATCCAGTCGCAAGCCTTTGTCGAAGTCCGGCAGATCCGCAAAGACAAGGTGCTCGGCTCAGTGCAATGAGGCGTCAGGTTTCTGGTTCCAGGGTTCAGGACCCTTTGATCGGGATCACTGTTTCTACAGCTTGCACTTCCGTTGTGCGCGTCGGGATTGCGACGTGGTTGGTCCCTCTGCAAAAAGCCGTAAACTCTAAATCCTGTAAACCCCCAAAACCCTATGCTCTCTACACTCCCGACTCCACAGCAGCATCCTAAAGCCCTCCGTCCTACGATGCGAAACCCTAGACACTAAAGCTAAATCCGAATCTTAAGCAGTAGAGGGTTGGGTTCAAAGTGTTTAGTAGCGGAGCCATTTTAAGCAGAAAGGGCTTTGGGGTATATTCTACCACAACCTGGTATCCAAAACCTAGACCCTAAACCCCAACCCCTAAACCCAGCCCTAAATCCGCGTTTTAACCTTTCAAAGGCGTCGGCTCCTATAGACTTCATCCGGACGAGCTGGGGCCCCAGATGCCTTCGGAGTTTCAGGTTTGGGGTTTAGGGAGACACAGCCTACATGGACTCTTTGTAAGCCTTTAGTTTTTTTCTTTCTTCTCTGCTCTCTGCCTCACTTCCTTGGAATGCACCTCTTGTCCAAGCTAATCTTTCTGCCCGTCGGCAGTGGCAGCATCATATCCTGAAGCAAGACTGTCGGTTGAAAAGGGCAATCAGTTCTAAGCCTAAACCTCTAAACCCTAAACCCCTAAACCCTAAACCCTAAACCCTAAACCCTAAAACCCTAAAACCCTAAAACCCTAACTCCTCCACCCCAAGCCCCCAACTCCCCACTCTGCGCCCTAAACCCTGGACCCTTTGTTTAGGATTGGGGCTGTTCCGTCAAGGTTTAGGGTTTAGGGTTTAGGGTTCAGGGTTTTAGGGTTTCCGGTTTCGTGTTGGAGGGAAGTTTGGGCTCGTGGCCTTCTTCCGAGTGGCACCCGGTAGAGGGGCCAAAACAAGTACCAATACTATGATTCTGTTAAAGTCCTAAGGGCTCTAGGGTTTAGGGCTTAGGGAGTTACCAATTCTTTTGTTCCTGATGGTTGTTTATAAAAGCTCCACCATGTTTGACCCCGAAACACTACACTACGCGAAGCCTTGAAGTAGGGCTTATATCAGGGGTCCGGTCGGTGTATATAGGGCTCTTTAGGAATATTGGTGAGTATCTATCTTTCCGTTTATTTCGGGCAATCTCGTCATCAGACTATGCCTTCAGACAATAAGAATTTCTTGTTTTCGGGGTATATCATGCCCTCATGACGAGGGTTGTTGAGGGCTCAGTCAACTAAGGACCAGCCGGGCTTCTAGCTTTAGCACCCCAAACAGGAGTTACAATTGGGATCAATCTGTAAAGCCTGTGAAGAAACGTGGCAGTTTCAAAATTAGGGTCCCGTTCTAGAGTCCCCAACATAGTACGGCACCCTTATTTTCTGACCCCAAAACAGACCCTAATTTAGAGAAGAGCTACCCAAGGGTATGCAACCCCAGGCCTCCAGCGAATCACGGAGCTACAGCATCCTAGCTTACCGAGAGTTCTCGACTGCCTGGAGGAGCAGTGGTGTAGGGTTTACCGTTAAGGGTTTAGGGTTCAGTGTTGAGGGTGGAGGGTCTATGTTGAGGGTTTACGGGCGCCTAGGATTAGGGTGTCAGTGTTCTTGCCAAGGGTTGGGGGTTCGGGTACAAGAGGACGTTGTGGTCTAGAGGTTTGGGGCTTCAGGTTAAATGAAAGCCGTTATCATCCACAAATCAGCCGAACCTCGCTAAACCCCCAACCCCAAACCCGAAACCCTAAACCCTAATCTCTACCATGGAAGCCTCATCGTACTGATGGAGGCCCTAAGCACAGCCTGCCCGAACCCTAAACCTTACCGTTTGTCTAGGCCCCAAAGCCCTGCACCCCACTAGCTCGACGGGATTTCAACCCCCCGCCCTGAATCCAAAACTCGTTTTAGTTATACTGGGCGAAGGAAGGTTTAGGGTTTAAGGGTACTGGAGTGTGGGGTAAATACGGTGCTTCAGCTTGGCTCCTTTGGCCAGCGGGGTGCACCCGACTCACGCAAGCTTGCACTCGTACAGGTGGTTCTCTAAATCGGGGGTCCCTGAAAATGAGAAATACCCATATTATCAGCTGAGTGGACATTGCAGCTCGATCGCAGATGCCTGCACCTTGATTCACACTCTCTTGAGTACGAGACGTGGAAAGCACCTGCTAGGCTTAATATTGGTGCTGCAGATGTACTATTCCCGAACCCTCAGACCCTAAACCCTAAACCCTCAACAGCAAGCCCCTAAACCCTCAACACGTTTTGTTTACGGCGGCTTTGGGTCGGATTGTGAGCAGTTGACATGAGCCCGGAACATCACTAAAGTGGTCCTTCGGGTTCCTGAGAGCACTTACAGCCATCTTCTTTGCCCCAAAACCGTAGTCGAATTGTTCAGGCCCTTATGCCCTTGTATTGATGTCAATCGGCCCCTAGAGCCTGTCCGGTCATAATGGGTGTATATAGGGTTTTGGGTTTTGGGGTTTAGGGTTTACGGTTCATGTCACTCCACATCCTGCGCTTGTCTTTGGCTCAGAGCACGGTTGTGGAAGATAGTTGTAGTAGCACCTCCGCCTTCGCCCAGCTATTGCTATGGGGTGTGGCTCGAGTTGCTTGGCTTGTTGCCAGTTTGCTGTTGGCATGACTTTCGCGAGTACTGCTATCCTATACTATTTTACACCACGCGTTGACTGGGTTGGTAGACTCCCCATTTGTTGTTGTCGGGGTACCTCGGATACTTAGCTCGACACTGTGTATGTCCATGTCGGCGTCCTTTCGCTTCCATCAAATCTTGGCTGAGTGCTTGCAGAACCCAGGCAGTGTTGCGAACTTGAAGGTGAAGAAATCGTCGTCCTTCTACCGCAAGATGCTCGCTTCCCCTATGGTACGTTCTTGGTTGTTTCTGTTTTGGGGTTCCCTTTCCGAAATGAGTGCTGTAGGCCCTAAACCCGAAATCCTAAACTCCAGGACGGAAGGGAAGCTGACTGGCGCCTAGGACTAACGTCTTGCCGGGAGCCACCATGCCGCCGGATCGGGAAACACACGATGAGCACATCAGGAAGTTGAACAGGTACCTCCGAAAGGCGAGGGTCTAGGGGGGTCGAGGTCAGACAAGGCTTCAAGGTTGAGGATCCTACCCGGTTTGAGAATTAGGCATAGGCTCCCGTATACTCCCTATGTACCTGTAGTCATAGCATTGTCAGACTTACTAAGGCCTCTAGACTAAGCTAGCTCGGGCCCTGGAGCGCAATGCCGTACATCCTCCTCTTCCAATCTGGCTAGACCGAACTACATGACCGAATGCAGCCATGCCCTGCAGCCATGCTTAGGTTTTGGGGTGTTGAGGTTTCCGGCTCGGGGCTTTGAGGAGGTCCAGGAACCCTTAGACTGAAACCCGATGAGGTCGCGAGTGCAAACGCCCGAATCAAGTGGCCACTTATCCCTCAAACCTATAAACCCCTAAACCCTAAAGCCCAACAAATCGATTTGGCTGGTTTTCCCGATGTAGCCGAGGATGTTATGGACATCGATAGAAGAAACGATAATCTCCCACACACAGAAAAGCTTAGTGGTGTCGGTAGGGGCAATGTACTTGTTCAGGCCGGGTGCAGAGTCTTTCTTTACCCTTCCGAAGAAAAACCCTCCCTATCAAACTGAGCAGTACTTCAAGCTCTAAGGGTAGCTTTGTTGTTGTGGCTCGATCTTACGCAAAGCACCTCTCCAGGCTTCAGTGGGAAGGACTGCTAAACTGCAAGCCTTGAGACGGACCCTCAAATTTTTGAACTTCCCTTCGGCATCAGGTGGAAAGAGATCCGATTCTCGGCAGAATACCTCTGACTTGATATGGGATATCCAGATCTGGACCCTAGTGTTAACAAGATGTTTAAAGCTTTTTGTATTTAGGGTTCTGCTCATCTGTCGTGGATCTTCGAACGAGTAGTTTCTGTTTCAGAGGTGTAGAATAATTCCCACAGTTTGCCTCGCCGAAGCCATAAACCGCGAACTCGAACTCCTCAGCCTGCAAGAGAGCCTCCGTGCCTTCCGTTGTTCAAGAGTGGGCTGGGGTATTCGTGGCATATTGCCCCTAGCTTGAGTCTGCTTCAATAGTAGTTTTTGTTTTTTATACTCAAGATTATGTGTGTTTTTGTTTTGCGGTGCTCGTTTCCACCGCTGTGTTTCCAAATCCTTCCAGGTCAAACATCAAGTTGGTTTCGCAGCGCAGAACATGCATCATGAAGTTGCCGTACTGGTCCCAAGCGACAAACCGCCTAAACACGCAACCAGGTCAAGATGGAAGATCTATGTTGAATCTCGGCACGCGGACTGGATGTCACCCGGCCTGCCCGGAGATGCCAGCGATGAGGCTACTCGACCGCTGGTCCAGCCGTGTTCGATTTGGGTCCGGGGTTCACCCTAGACCCGAAACCCCTAAACTTTGGAGTTACTGTAGACTTTGGGTCGCGTCTTGGGTGCCGTTCGGGTATCTCGGAAGCATAGAAAGCTCCAAATTCGTAGATGGATAGGAGCGGGTTCGCAGAAAGCTATGCCTCGACCACGCAACATCTTCTTTACACATACTGTCCGGGGTGTGATGTGTTTTTTTTCTGTATTGGTTCTAAGGCACGGACAGCCCAATTACTTCGACTCGAAAAAGAACCCCTTAAACCGTCAATTTCAGGTCTGCCCCTCCCTGCCCTGCCCTGCTGCTCTGCTGCCCTGCTGCCCTGCCCTGTCCGGCCTGGTGCAAAAGCTCATTGTAACATGAGTTCCTGAAACATCATACTGCGTGGAGTGGGTTTTCCTTCTCTCGACAAGATTTTTCAGCCTATCACCATAACACGATGCACTCGACACAGCTTGTCGCAAGATACTGTCGCCTACNNAAGCCCTAAACCCCAAACCTCTAACCCTAATACTGGAGCCCAGTTTCTTCCACTCGGCAGCATCCGTAATACCCAGGAGACTGCCTGTCGGAAAGTCTTGCAGGCCCGAAGAGGTCCCTAATGCAGAGGCTATAGTTACTATAGTTTATCACCCGCAGAAACCCAAGTTCAACCGGACAAGCCGCAGTCATCGAGCCATGACCCCGATTTGGAGCTTTGGGTGTCGATCAGGGCTTAGGGTTTAGGGTTT